TTCCACAGATGGATATTTTCCCCTTGTCCCCCGGTGTTTTTAATTCTAATTTCGTGGGAATTGATCAAAACTCACTAAAATGTGCAATTTTTAGAGGAAATTGGGCCATGTTAACAAGAAATGCGCGCGAAATTTGAGGTTTTTAGGCACTTTCAGGGAATAAAGGGCATTTATAAAGGGGTGGGGAAGATTTTTCAAAGATAGATATTTTCCCCCTTGTCCTCCAGTGGTTACGCCATTGGGCAGCATAAATCAAAGGAGTTGTGACAGTTTTTGAAGTTGAGAAGGGGTTGCAGGGTGTTGTGAGTCTGGTCATTATGATATCTTCCTTTTTATTCTTGTCTTAATTTTTCTCTTCTCTTTTTCTTTTCCTTTCTTTTCCTCTTCTTTCTCTTTCCCTCCCTCTCCCCTCTTTCTTTTCTCTTATTACCCAGCCCGGTACGACGGCTTGGTCAGCCCGGTAAAAACCGTCATGGGAGGGGCAGTTTTTGCCTGTTACGACAAATTACTATACACATGATTTATATAAAATCATAATAATAGTAATTATTATTAGTGTTTTATTATTCTATTAGGCCTACTATTATTATAATTATAATTATAATTATATTAATGTATTATTATTATTATTATTTAATATCATCATCATCTAAATCATATTCATAATTATTACTATCATTACAAATGTATTTATTAGACCTATTTACAAAATACTGGAAAAAAAGAACTGGTCATTAAGAATAAAATAGATAGGCAGACTATTTTATTAGGCCTACTATTATCATCATTATGACTATAATTATATTAGTTTATTATTATTATTTAATATCATCATCATCTGAATCATATTTATAATTATCATTACAAATGTTTTATTAGACCTATTGAAGTTTACAAGATGCTAGAAAAAAAAACTGGTCATTAAGAATAAAATAAATAGGCAGACATGATTATGATAATTATCTTAAAAATTCATAAAATTAACCTGTTATCATTTTGATAACCTCTGATTGTGGATTTGCACAAAGATCGCTCATTTTTTATCATCTTTTCTTTTAATTCTCATCCGGCTTTTGCTCTTAATCGCAAAGAGGTTTCATGCATTCTGTTCTATATGAAAATAAATGTATCATCATCATCATCATCATTATTATTATTATTATTATTATTATTATTATTATTATTATTATTATTATTATTATTATTATTATTATTATTATTATTATTATTATTATTATTATTATTATTATTATTATAATATAAAATATAATATAATAATACACAAATACAGTAACAGTTATCAGAGAACACAGAAATTCAGAATGGCTTCTCAACTACTCCGTGGCTCTTTTCGAAGTGAATTGTATATTACGCCCTCTTACGTTAGACTACTTGGTCTACCTTGTATATAAACGCTTTTGTGATTAGTCAAATGGACAAACATTCACAACTACAAACCAATCCGAAACTTCCTTTTTTCGAACCGTTGGATTTGGCCGCTCTGAAGGTATCAGATCATGGGCATGAGATGATTTTGTGAATGTAGAGCTCCGTTATTCTTCAAAAATGAGCCTCCCAAATACAGTAAGTATAGATTTGTATGGTAGATACACCAGTTAATTTCATTAGGAATTAGCTTAGATTATTTTTGGTGTAAACTTATTTATGATTTGCCGTTTATAAGACTTCGTTGTTGTGGTAGGCTAGCCAGCTGGGGATTGGGGTGCACATGATTCGCTCTCTTCTGAGTGAATGCAATGGGAAGATCTTTCGATTGCACAAGTGTTGCTTGAGTTGGGCCTAAGATAAATCCAAGATGAGGGTTTATACTGAGAGTATATAGTATAATTATAAAATGGTAGAATCGTAAATTAGAAAACGAATGCATAAACATAGGTACCATTAGAACTCAAGGCCTAGGCCCCCTACCTAGGCTAGGCTATGTGTTTTTAAGAATTTTCGTTAAAAGCATAGACTAGGCCTAGGCCCTACCTTTTGTAGGTTGGCTGAGGCTAAATTTCGCCGGTGGACAAATTTCTTCTAGCTAGGGCCTAGGCTAGGCTAGACTGAGGCTAGATTCTAGTGTTGAAAAATTAAGGCCCCATAAAATGAATTACTACTACTAGATTGACACCCTAATTTTTGCAAAGTGATGCATTACAGTATGTAGGCATCAGGCGATGAATTTTATTCTTAAATTATAATTTCCAATCTGCCGAAAAGGTGCATATCATATCATAGCAAAAAATAGCCCCCCCAAAAAAGTCACAAAACGTGTGATACTCAAACCAATGTACAGTACAGTGGCCTATCACTCTATGCTATCAATGTTGCCATTTACACAAGTCTGTCAGGTTACTAATAAGGATAAAGTTACATTCACATCAAACCTGGATCTGTTCTGGAGCCCGGACAAAAAATCGCTACATTTTTTGAACGCTGTGTTCACATCGCGCATGGAACATGGTTGTTCATGTTAAGTATGTATGCGTTCGATTGGTTCGAACCAAGCAAGCTTGTTGCTGATTGGTCCAAGAAAAAAAAGATGTACTATTTCAGGATACAAATGGCTCTCAGATCCATCGGTCTAGATCCGGAGTCTGGATTGAAAATCATACTAATTTGATGTGAACGGTCCTATTCTTTACCACTGAACCCATTTTTCATTATTTTTTTCCAGGATTCCGGACCAAAATCTAGGCTTGATGTGAACGTAGCTTAAGAAGACTGAGCCTGCCAGTATAACAGATTAAGACCCCAATCACACTCAGGGTCGGCATTTTTTAAGTCTGAACATTCAATAAATGTTAAGCCGGCCTTGAGCCGACCCAAAGTTAGTTCGACTTTTGAGTCCGTTCAGCCGACCCAACTTTATATCTGAACGTAAGCCGAACCTGAGCCGGCCCAAGTTCGCTCTGATTGCGGTCGATTTTGACATCTTATCTAACCACAACATTCATTTGAACTGACTTGCGCGAAAAAGCACCATTGAGAAATAGATTGTTAAGGAAACTGTAGAGTAAATTGTATTCAGTTAAACTATTGTTTTTGAATAAAAGTTGTTATATAAGGTCTCCATGCCTACACTAACTAATTATTACACAAAGCCTCCGTGCGAAGCAAGTATCACGAACCGAGTTAAATACCATGTGATACAAAGCTTACGCATGGGCAGTTTGGCAGATGACGTATGGTTCGACTTTCTTTTCTACAGTTGAATTCCAGTAGAGAAAAAATATATAGGCCTATTACATGCTCAAGAAATCTTGTTTTTGTATAGCACACATTAATTTCATAATTTCATATTCTAAAATCATAACACTGTATAGCGGTATCATTCTTTCTGTGAACGTCATCCTCACCAACCACGTGCGTTTTGTGTCGACGTTTGTGAAGCTACTCACGTGACCCCGAGGACCAAAAAAAATAATCTTTTGTTATTGTTATGAGCGAAGCTGGTTCTAAAAAGCTTCAAAAATTGTTTGTGAATGAACCTAATATGAAAATAATTATTATTGCCAAATAAATAGATCTCGATGTTACTTAAATTCACAATCTGTGTCCAAACATTGACAGCAACCTTCAGTCTTTTCATAGGCCTATACAGTTTACAATATACAGGTATGGACTTTCGAAATCGCGAGTCTGGTTTTGCACAGAGTAAAGTCGAGCTGTGCTAATTATGGGCCTTGGTTATTATAATAATTATCGTCACCATACATGAAGCAACGCTACGCTTAAAAAATCGAAAAAGTATAAGGACAATTTTAGGTTCATGTTTTGCGAGAATTCTATGTGTTTATGCTAGGTTGTGATTTACCATTCCACCATCATGTAATGCGATTGCCTCAAACTTCCTGTCCTGCAATTCATCGACGTGGCCCAAAGGAGAAGTGTGAACGTTCATATGGCAGCCAAGGGACACTGTGAACAGAAAATTTCTTTAAGTCGGCCCTGAGTCGGTCGTATTTAAGCCGGCCCTGGGGCGACGCTAGGCCGGCCTAATAAGTGTGATTGGGCTCTAAGAAATTAATTTGTTCCATCAGTTGTCGGACTATAACTTAAATATAGGCCTGCATTATTCCACATCCTAGCTCCTTAGCCTATCTCACCTTAGCCTATCTCACCTTAGCCTATCTCACCTTAGCCTATCTCACCTTAGCCTATCTCACCTTAGCCTATCTCACCTTAGCCTATCTCACCTTAGCCTATCTCACCTTAGCCTATCTCACATTAGCCTATCTTTGAAAAACACCCTGCTTTGAATAGATGCCCCCCCAGTATGTCCCCCTCTAGAGCCTCATTTGGAATAAACGCCTCCTCCCTCAAGTTGCCTAAATGCCCCACATGCATTTTTTCCCCTCAACTCTCCTAAATGACTAAGTAAATCTAATGGAAGCAATCATTTTCAAACAGTCTGCTCTACTCCATTAGTTAGAATTAAATTTTTTTCTAAGGTGGTTCGGACCAGTAAGTCTTTATGATCATGCAATAACACATTGAAGTCCCTCGAATAAATGCCTCCTCTAAAACCTGCTTTAAAATCTCCTTTAAAAAATGTGTACTGTGCTTTGGTTTTTACTGGATGATAATAAAAATAATAAAGTACTTCCAGGGAGTGTGTATCATTTTTCCCTGTAAAATTATGGCTAAATATTTTTAAATACACTAATTTCTATGTTCAATTTCAGATTTTATGTTTGGTACATTTTTGGGTATTTTGCATGGGAAAATACTCTTTAAAGACATATTTCAAAATTCATCCTTTAAAAGGAGTAATTAAATTGATTTTTTGTGTTCGATGAAGTGATTAAAAACAGATAATGAGATACAGATTTGTTAATATTTACAAACTAGAAGGTGTTATGCACTTTTTCCCACTTTAATTTTTACATGGGCAATTCCATAAAATAGTAAAAATTTTGTCAAAATTTGAAACACGTCAAATATGTTCATTAATGTTATTTTTTATAACGTTATGAAGTGTAGTATCATAAAAAAAATATATAATTATGTAATATATTTCCGATTTAAAATATAATCTGTAATTTTATTAATTCTTGATTACTTTTCTTCAAACACCTTATTTGCAAAATCAGCAACACAGCATGTCAAAAGAAAATGTTTTCCTGGATGTGAGTGTCAATAGCATATCAAAATTACTGTTTCTAATTTAATTCACTTAGTTGTCCTTTTTCTTTTTTCTTTTTACCCTATTTGTAGAGGGTGACCCTTCCAGTATATTGTAGAACGTTGGCTGGTATGCTGTACAGGGACCCTCTTTAAATAATTGAAATAATGTGTGCTCTTATCAGTGAAGTCTCTATATATGAGGCTTAGGGAGTAGAGTTATTTTTAGAAAAAGTCCTGCTATCACAGGAATTAAACCCAGGATTGAAAGGCAAGCATCTTAACCACTAAGCTATTAACTCCACTCCTGTAGAAAACATTACCTTTATGTTTGAATATTGTCTTTATTTTCTGTTTAGATTTTAAGTTTTGGGGATTTCAGTGAAGGTGATGAAGTTGGAAGTCTGAACTATCTTCTGGCCTCCTTAGGCAGACCAATTAAAAACTCCAAACTTGAGGTAAGCTGAGTAATTATAGATTGATATAATTAATATCTTAAATAATATAATAAAGCTGCAAAATTAAAGAAATTTATAAAGTATCAAATGTGTTGACCCAAATGTACTACAGTATAAATGTGTTGGAAAAAATTAAATTCAGGGGTTTTTTATGCTAATATTGGAAAAAAAAAGTATTTCTAAATTTGGTCCAATTTAAATCACAAACCTGCACAATTTAACAATTTTTTAGACCACAGTTTGCTAAGGCCTGCTTGTACTGTAGTGCTTGCCTTACTAGAGAGTTATTGTCCTTTTGGAAACCCTTTAAGAGCTTTTTATTTGTGGATATTAAAATATATTATTAGAGCTATCTTATAGAATACAGTATTTAGTTCTTGTATTAAAATTATTTGTACAAAAGGCTGTCTGTTATTGAATAATCACACTGATATTTAAGATTAGCTTTTTATGTCTAGATATAAAGTAAATATTTTAGAGTAAATTCTCTTATATAATATATTAATTCATTATATATTATTTGTTCAAAAGGGCTGTCTATTACTGATTAATTACACTGATGCATAAGACTGGCTTCAGATTAGTTTAATGTTCAATTTTATACAATAACTTGCAAATTTTAGCATAACCATATCAGGACGGAAATATATAATATAATATTATTGTTATCATCGTTGTTTTCCACTTCATTTAACGTTATTATTGATTAATTTGTTGTCATAGCTATTCTTATTATTCTTATTTTTTTTAAATTTTAACCAATTTGTAATAATAAAATGTTAACTTAGACTCCCAAGCACTTTAATCCTTGTGACCTTGTCATTCACTTAAGTTGTGAGAAAACAATACTGGTACCGTTTACCCTGCATAAGTGCACAGACCTTGTTTTTTTTTTTTTCAGTTACCTTGGAATGAAGAAGAGCATTTAAAGGAAGTTTCAGCAGGTAAATATTTTTTCTCATGCTAAACGACCAGGTGTAATTATGTAAGGCAGGGGTGGGCATAAAAATCAATCGGAGGGTAAAATTTGAATTTTTGATTTAACACCGAGGGCCACACTCAAACTTGGATGTTTCCACTTGCCCACCTGTGGTGTAAGGTATTCGATTGTAGTATGGAAAGTCTTTGAATTAATAGTACCGTAATATTATGTACCAATTGGTCAGTATCGTAGCAGGAGTTACTAAAACGTATGCCTGTTGCCTGGCAGGGATAAGAAAAAAATCTGCCAAAGCTGAAAATATGTCACAATTGATGTATAATAATAGTAATGATAAATATAGCAGCAGTAGCAGCAGCAGACATAATAATAATAATCATGATAATAATAATAATGATAATCATGATAATAATAATAATGATAATCATGATAATAATAATAATGATAATATTAATAATAATAATGATAATCATAATAATAATAATGATAATAATAATAATGATAATCATAATAATAATAATGATAATCATAATAATAATAATGATAATCATAATAATAATAATGATAATCATAATAATAATAATGATAATCATAATAATAATAATAATAATAATAATGGTAATTATAATAATGCATGATTTATTTATATAGCAATTCAAATTCAGTGATCAGAGACACTTGAGCATTTTTTGCCCCTGATAACATACAGTGTTACTTGTTGCTTGTATAGCACTTTTCCTTGTAGTCAGGAAGGGCTGTAAGCTTTTTCTTGTCATTGGTTCCACATGCTTTTGTGCCATATTGTTGCAGTACCTGGCAACCGCACCAGGTGCCTGTTTATATTCTTGGGTGGAAAGAAGCAACGCAGATAAAGTGCCAGCTCAAAGACACAAAGCAAAATGCATGCCGTGATGATTGAAACTCCGAATTTGAGGTTGCCAAACAGCTTCTCCAAACTGCTTCCACGATGTCAAACCAGATACAAAGTCCAGCCTTCTCTAGTCATGCATGTGCACTCAGCCCATGATACTACAGTAGTACAAACAATATTATGTATTTCTATTAATCTTTTTTATCTTTGTTTTATGATTGTGAGGTGAGACTATGATACTGTATGTAGACTTGTGTTTTGATAATCTGACATAGCTTCACTAACTCAGAAAATGTTATCCATGTGTAGATACTGTGCCTAATGAAGCTACTGGAATTAGTTTTGGAACTGTCGACTTAAAAGGAGAGAACTTTAGTTTTACAGTTGGAAAAAGTTCTTTGAATTCTTCTGTTAAAAATACTGCAGTTGAGTTTGATGATAAGGTATTTGGACAAAGTCATTCTGATGACAGACACAGAAAGCCACGGCGCAATAAAAAGAAAAGAGATGAGAGGTATTATGAGGACTTTTACAAGAATCAAGAATTTACTAATGATGATGCAAGCCAGAAAGCAATAGAAAAAGAAACATTCAAACACCAAAGTTACCCAGTCAATGAACTATTGAATAAAACACAAAGTGAAATAGGACACAACGTGAACCAAAACGCAGATGTTATAAATTTTTCAACTGCCAGTAACAGAACTATTAATCTTGAACAAAGTTACATGCCAGATCTTATCCCAAACATTGCTTCTATGCAGGGGGCTGGAAATGTTCAACAACAGATCCCCACCGACAGACAAAACGAACACAACAATGTTGTTAAAAACTTAGCTCAAGTCCAACAGAATAGCGTTGCATCGGCAGCTGGTGAATGTTTTGAAAAAACATTAGGTAATAATGCTGAGAACACCACATCAACTGATGATGATAAAGCAAACGAGGAAAGTGAATCAAATATAGACATACCACTGAACAAAATAGAAGCTGTAGGTAAAACAGAACAAGAAAGTACATATTCAAATCTGCAGAGTACGAATGAATCAAAGGATGGTGCACAAATGAGGGTGCCAGAGCAAAACCAGCCAGTTGTTAACAAGCCATCATCCTGGGCTGGACTATTTAGTAAGCCTGCTATGAACACTAAAGGAAAGCCGGATGTAGCCGAAAACAAGGTTCATTCAGTGCCAGATCCAGCTGCAATTAAACAGATTGTTGAACAAATTGATGAAAGGAAACCTGTTTCTGTAGACTTTGACTCTTACGCTAAACAGCTTGGAGGTAAGTTACGGTATATTTAAATTTTCGGCATGTAACAATGCATTTATATACATGTTTTTTGTGCATTCCATATACTGCAAACACATTAATAGACATATGAAATTATTATTGAGGCAATACGTTAAATTCTGAAAAAAAAAGTCTTCAATTATCTATAGTAAGTGACTGCAGTAGATCCTCTTTGAAGGTCCTGTATTTATAGACATATATTAGAGAGATTTCGATTTGCGCAATGATGTGCTGCTAGAAAGGATTCCTTCATGTGTGACTGTCCTGCATAACGTAGCCAAATTGCATCCAATGAGAACGTAACGTTATTGCATGCACAAGTGACTTCTTATTGACATCATTACGTTCTACATTCTACCATCGTAATAAAAAGCTCCCTAATACAAAAGGACACATGAATACTAAATGCAAACAGGTACATTGATAAAACAAACTGCACAAGTTTGAGCTATTTCTCAATAATGTCTTGATACAGTATAACCATTATACAATCCATTTTCAATACAATTTATTTGACATTTCAAAACATAGCAAGCTTATTACAGTATAGAAGTCAATTGTCAATGTTGAAAATAATGATTTCCTTTTTTTTTTCATCAGATTTATTATCTAAAGTGCAATTAAACCACCGTCCAGTTGCTTGGCAACCAAGAGGTTTGAACAACAAAGCTAACTGGTGTTATATTAACAGTGTATCCTTCGGTTACAAAATGTACATTATATTACATTTCTCTGAATTTTAATTGCTAGATATTACATGAATATAGTACAGAAATGCCTGTCTCTTATACACATCTAGATGTGTATAAGAGACAGAAGATATTGCAATTGAATGACTCAAAGGTAATACTTATTTTCAATTTATATACTTTGTGTGAACTGGATAATTTTTCTGTAACTTGTAAAATGAACAGATCTTGCAAGCTCTGCTATTTTGCCCTCCGTTTGGCAATCTCATTAGATCAATACCAGTTCAAGTTAAAGAGCGACTACCAACATCCACGCCAATGCTGGACTGCATGTAAGTTTAATTTTCATTTTAACTCTGATTATAAGTAATGATATTTCTGCTAATTTTCTATTCCCTGTATGCAGAATGGAGGAGGAATGTCTTAATCACTAAAACCTGTTTGATTTAAACTGAAGTCTACATGCTGATATTATTTGATTGTGTCACTAATTGTGAGACATCACTTGTAACATTAAAACCAGTTAGGAGAATGCTCTTTATATTATGTATTACCCTGTATGTTGGATCAAACATCATGGAACACACTGGGGACAGATCTAGGGGATGACCAAAGAGGCCTTCTGAAGCTTCCCTGGGGAATACCCCACAAAAATAGGCAAGAGAACACCCCAGATTTCTGCTTAAGTAGCTGCAATGGCTGTTCAAGAATGTTTTGTTTGGAGCAGTGCGAGTGGCAATTGAAAACTAAAGATAACTTGCGGTTGAGAAATGCACACTCAAGTGTTTAAAGCTCTGACCTCAAAAGTTCACAACCTCTGTGCCAAACCCCTACCATCATCATTTTGCTCAACGCTATCTGCTTCATAACATTTTGTAAAATTTGAATCTTCCTCCCTTTAGAATTGACTTTGTGAACATGTACGAAGTGATGCCACATCGACAGTCTGGCAAACGAATCACAGATATTCAAACAGGCAGCACCTTTGAACCAGTCCAAGTCTACCAGATGTTATCACGTGCCAAAACATCTTTCTCTGTTGAGGTAAAAAACGTCCTCTATTTAGTAGTTTTGTCATTACAGTTAGTGGCTTTTCCATTAATTTTTTGTGCTACTGTCATGGAATGTAATAACTAAATTGAGTTGAAACAAATAGCCTTGTATATTGGGTTTAGTTATTATTGATGACATCTTTGGTATTTCTCCTTCTCTCTATTTTTTTATATATTATTTGAGCTTTATTCTAATGGACTTTCTTCAGAGTGTCAGTCAAGTTTAACAACTGAACAATTGAAACATCATCACTAGTAATATCAAAGATCTTATAAACACAAGATAGCATTCTCCGCGATTTAAGCGTAACAAATTGAAGCGTCGGTGAAGGTTCAAAAGTTTCAAATTTAGCAAGAGGGCGCCATTCATGCGCTATTATACCAAAGAGAAAAAGTAATCAGCTTTGGAATAGGGCGTCCTATCTGTTGCCATGGATCTGAGATGGTTCCTGTTCTGCTGTTCACAGGATTGATACTCTAAAGGTAAAGGTGTACGGTGTGGTAAGAGCGGTCAAGGGTCAAAAGTTTCCAATTTAGCAAGAGGGCGCCATTCATGCCTTATTACAGAATTTGCACGCGTAAATCGCGGAGAACGCTATCTTGTGTTTATAAGATCTTTGGTAATATGCGCTTTTCCCATAAACATGTGTATCCCAGTACCACAAACACATGTGTTTATGTACAGTTACACCATGTTTGTGTGGGCCTTTAGCGGCAATACCCAATTGGTGAGGCTTTGTGGAAAGATCCATTTGTTTAGAAATCTCATTTTTTTTTCAAGAAGTGAAAAGTAATGAATGCAATATTTTGTTTGTGCAGGGACGTCAGGAAGATGCTGAGGAGTTTCTAGGCTGTCTACTCAATGGCATGCATGAAGAAATGCTAGCACTGATGGCAGTTGACAAACCTCAATCAACAAGTAAAGGTTAATGTCTTATAAATTACTGTAACAATTTAAAATATGATTCTGTGTATTGTAAACACAAACAATATCTTGTATATCATTTGTATATAATTTTATATGTTATAACACATTTTAATTATTGCAATTTCTAGAATACTATTGACATTGTCTACCCTTGTCTTCCATTAGGTGTTTCAAATGGTCTAGAAAATGATAATGAAGAAGATGATGAATATGAGGAGGACGAGGATGAATGGCATCAAGTGGGACCAAAAAATAAGAGCAGTGTCACTAGAGAGGTCAGTGTAAACATTAAAATTTGCAGGTAAATAGTTATAGGTATTTGTTAACACTTGTTCAATTTAATAAGTAATTGTTATGTTTGTTATATTTGTAGGCTCACTTTGACAAGTCACCAATTTCAGAAATATTTGGAGGTCAGATGAGGTCAATCCTTCATCAGTCTGGTTCTCGTGAATCTGCTACATTGCAACCATTCTTCACTTTACAGTTAGACATTCAAGTAAGTAGTATCTATGCAACTGTTTCTATGTTCTGGTCCCTTAAGGCAGGTTCCCACTAAACTTTTCAAGCGAAAGAGTTGACTTTCGGTAAAGAATGTCTCGCTTCCAATGAGTCGCTTGCCTGTTCCCACTGCTGACCGCGTGCGAAAACTCGAAATGGCGGGTGCTAACAGAGAAGTGATTTTGTTATCTCATTGATAGACGGAGGAAAGGGGCTGTGAGATGAAATCAGATAAAATCCTCATGATTAACATTCCCAGAACTCCATAATGAATCAAAAGAGTGAATATAAACAGTTTTTTTTTTTAGTTCATATTTATTCAAGGCCTAGAGCTAGGCCTCCTAAGGGTAGATAGTAGGCCTAGCCTACCCTACCTTACTGTAGGTCTCAGGTAGTAGCAGGGTACCAGAGGCCTAGGCTGGACAGGTCTAATACTGGTGGAGATAACTCAACTCTCAGCCTGCAAATCTTCCACGCATTGTCACATATTTTCTTTGTTCCCATGTCACAGACCTAAACAAGGGTAGCCTACTGTTCCACAGAGTTTGCATGAAACGGACTCGTCGGTCATCGTGCGCACATTTGTACATTGTTTTGATAATGGTCGGGATTTTATTGTTGACCTTTGACATATATTGAATCTAAGCCTTGCGATTGGTCCATAGGCCACAAATTCGCTCGTGAATTCGAAAAAGTTGGTCTTGGATCAACTCTTGTGAATTCGCAGGCGATCTTTTAAAGTCGCAGATCTATCTTTTAAATCACAGGGTGCTTTTTTTTTTATCTATTGTATGATTACAATGTAAAAGTTAGCCCTTGTTTTTTGGCAGCTGAGTACCCTTAAAATTGTATTAAATTATTCTTTCAGTCCAACAACATATGGAGTGTTTCTGATGCTTTGGAGCACATGGTAAGCAAGGAGACGTTGCATGGATACACTTGTAGCAAGACAAAAACGGAGGTACATTGTCATATATTATTATTTTGTTCTATTAAATTTAGGTACTGTAATACTAGAAAGTTTGAAATGTAAAATTGGAGACTTGTATTCAATTCACAGACAAAGTGCTACAGGGAGGGTGAAGATACATTTCACAGATTCATGCTAAATAGGACAGCCTTTTTCAATGTTTTCTTTTCCTTACACACATTTCATGGTATGCATGCTAATTTTACATGGATGTGTCTTCACACATTATAGGAATGTACACATGCTCGATTTTCTTTAGGAGTATTACTCAATGTGATGAGGAGATACACATTTTTCGTTGTACAGTAAGATTGTTAAAAATGTGATTAGTCAAGTGGCTGAAATTGCAGAATGTTATATTAGTTAATTGATTATAAATACAGTACTAGATAGTATTATTGCAAAAACAACAACACATTTTACCCGTTGTCGTTGCGTTGTGTTCGTGTTGAATTGCGTTGAAATGAGCGTTGAAATTTTGTTGCTTATTTAACGAAGGCATGTTCGTGTCACTTTATTGTTGGTCTTAGGTCACTGAGGAACTATTGGGATGATACAGATGTGAAATGCGTGTGTGTGTGGCAACAACCAGTCTGTATGTTTGTAATCAAATAGGCTCCTAAACGGTGCCTCGCTGCGGGTATACATTTTGCCCAAGAGGTACTGGTGGACATGTAATTGTGTGGGAAATGTTTGTTTTTTCGGTTAGATAGAAAATGTAAGCTGTATGCGATAAAACATATACCCCCTACCACCAGTCTTGAGTGGTTTTTTAGTCCAAAGTTTTCCCGACGCATGCG